AGTTGTGAATCAGTGATGTCATAGCAATTGTAATGGAGAAATGCAATAAGACTGTCAAAAGTGTTACGTTCCATGCAATATATTCACATAACATGCTATGGTTTTATATCTTTTCCAGTCACATGAAATTATTTGGTTATAGGAAGAAAGTTGGTGACTTGGCATGCACTTAGTGTTTTGCGGGCTAAGTCAACCCATCATTTGTGAACGCTCCTTTTCACTGCCTGTGCTCAGCTCAATCAGAAGTCAGATCCTGCTGTTAACCAGCTAATATATCACCAAAGCTAAATTCATGATTTCTGTGTGCCAGGTTTCTTTATGTATCAAACAGACAAGCAATGCCTCATTTATACAAGCCAATGGAAAACAGAAATTGGCATTTCTTCTAAATTTTAAGTGAAAGGAAATATATAACTTGGGTTTTGCTATCAGATGACCCAGGCTTGACATTTAAGCTTTATTCCTTATTAATTCACAACAATGGTTGAATTACTCAGCTTCCGTGAATGTTCATCTCTTCTTTCATAAAATAAAGATAATAATGTCTACATGAGACATAACATGAATGCAGCTAGCATAGTACCTAGCATGTGCCTAGCAATCAATAAAAATATCATTAACATACTGATAAATACTATTAAGAAAGGTAATTAAACAGACACTATGGACGCAATGAAGTCACTAATCCCTTTTGCCTTCTCACTTTAGGTATCGCAAATGCTGTTTTAAATGGCCAAAGTGGCAAAATATTATTCAGAAGTAATGGGAATATTACCAGAGAACTCACCAATATCACATTTGGTTTCAGGACAACTCATGCAAATATGGTAACATTGCATGCAGAAAAAGAGCCCGAATTTCTTAATATTAGGATTCAAGGTCCCAGATTATTCTTTCAGTTGCAAAGTGGCAACAATTTTTATTCACTGCGCCTGAGAAGTTTGCAATCAGTGAACAATGGCATGTGGCACCAAGTGACTTTTTCCATGGTAGACTCACAGGCTCAGACCTCCCAGTGGCAAATGGAAGTAGACAGCCAGACACCTTTTGTGACCAGTGCAATTGCTACTGGAAGCCTGAACTTTTTGAAGGACAATACATACATCTATGTGGGGGACCGAGCTATTGACAACATAAAAGACCTACCAGGCTGTCTAAGCACAATAGAAATCGGAGGCATATATCTCTCTTACTTTGAAAATATTCGTGGTTCCAGTAGTAAACCTCGAAAAGAGAAGTTTCTCAAAATGTCTACAAATTTGGTAGTTACTGGCTTCCTCCCCCAGATGCCTGCCACTCCAATCCCTGTTTGCACGGAGGAACTTGTGAAGACATCCACTGCTCTTACCACTGTTCCTGTCCTTTGGGATGGTCAGGGACAAACTGCGAACTCAACATCGATGAATGCTCTTCTAACCCCTGTGTCCATGGCAACTGCTCTGATGGACCTGCAGCGTACCACTGCTGGTGTGAGCCTAGATACACTGGTGCGGACTGTGAACTAGGCATAGACAATTGCAAGAGTCATCAGTGTGCAAATGGAGCCACCTACGTCAGTGGAACTCATGGCTATTCTTGCCTCTGTTTTGGAAATTTTACAGGAAGATTTTGCAGGTGAACACAAAGTCCATGCAAAGCTTAACCTTTGGAGCTATGTTCTAAAATTTTCTTCTCAAGTCCTAAAGCTCTCTCCCTTAAATATCCATATGTGCTATGCTAAACAAAGTTGACTTAGATCTTTTCCATCACAATTTGATCATGTGAAGATGAGAGTTATCTTATGGAATGTTTTACAGATATGAATATAGCATTTCATCAGACATTAGCACAATGTTTTCTTAATCATCTTCACTAGAATATGTCCTATGAACTATATACATCAGGGTCTGGGAGCCTCAACGCCTCAGGAAACAAATATGCTCACAATAAATACAAAATGTTGAATTTTAGTATTTTAGGGAAGGGAGAATTCTCTGGGTTTCTTCAGGGAGATAAATCATAAAATCCTGAATAGGTTACATTAAAATATAATTTCAAGAAAAGGTAAAATTCACTGTCAGACAAGCAAAATGGATAGATTTTTGTGATTTTGTTTTTCATAAATTAATAAGGAATTAGTAAGGTTAGTTCATGCAACCTTGATTTTATGCTAACGAGCAAAGATAAGTATTTTCCTTCTAAGTCATATTGCTTCAGTGTCTCCACGTAAGTAGAAGCCATTGTTTTTATAGCTTCTGCTGCTTTAAATTTACTAAATAATTGAGTCATAGGCAGCTGAACGGGTTGTTATTAACAATTAGTTCATTCTAGGACTCGGGCAAGAACTCCTGGGGTGGCTTGGCAGCCTGTAGACCTTACACTATTCAGAGGTAGAATCCCCTGGCAGGCATCAGGTGCAGCCATGCCTAGGGAACCTGTACTCATCTTCAGAGCATCTACCATTGTTCAGACCCTCTGATGGCAGGCATAATGAAAGGCACTGAGTGTTGGGCACCCAGAAGATGTTAACAGACTTATTTGTCAATGGGTAGCCTGCCTGGTTAAAAGCAAGAGAATTTTTGGATCAAAATTAGGGTATTCAGAGCAAATGTGGATAAGAAAACATATATGCCCTAGTAACAAGTTCTCTGGAACGTCTTTTCTTTCTAATACATCAAAGTTAAGTTCTAAAGACTAAAGTTTTCTTGAAAGTTCCTTCTAATGAACTTTAGAGACAGTTTATTAAACCGAGATATAGACAAAGCTTGAGATTTACATTGCTAATTGACCTCTTTCAAAGCTAGCTGACTTTTTTTTTTTTGACACTTTTGAAATGTCCCTAAGATTTTCTTTTTGAAGTGGAATTGATTAGCTCTTGTGAAAAGAGACACCTTTATACCATCATGCAATTGGGCTTCTCTGCATTAGCTACAGTGTCTGACAGTACAAAAGCAAATTTGTTTTCCATTTTCCAAATATTTATTCTCTATCTGATCCCACATATGCATACAGTAGGCCAAGGTACCTGAGCAACAATCTTAAAATCTTTTTTAAACAGTCCTTTCTAACCTGTGAATTTTGTCTAGCTATGTTTCACTTAACTTTTAACAATTTGTTGTGCCTTTTATAAGAACTCTTTAACTTGCTCAGCTTTGCTGCTGTACAAAAAGCCTCATGCTGAATTCACATGCAGTGACACTGAGTATTGTACACAAGCCTCCTGGACAGCGCCTGGCTTGCACTCTGAAAAGCTATGAATTATGAGAGAGGGAGCAGGCAAGTCTTGGCAGGGCAACTGTAGTTCAGCTCTGAAAGCCAACAGAGAAATCACATGAGTGCCTGAGTACCAGAGTGCTGTCCTTGCTTTCCTGGCCTTTATAGAGATGCAATTTTCCTATGGCCTTTGTTGATTTATGAGCGAAGCACCAGCAGATCTAGCCATGGAGAATTCCTTTCCAGCCTTAAATTTATTGCCACCCCATGGCATAGATCTTATCTCAGGAATGAAAACCGTGTAGAATGGAAGATGGATGGCCATATTGGTTTCGGGAGCCTCCAGGAAGGGCTTTTTGCTAGAGAAACTGGTGCTTGTAGAATGCAGCACAATCCAGCATTGCTGCTCCTCCAGTCCCAGTACTTAATTAGTCTAGCATTAACTACATACATGAACTTAAAAAATGTTCTTGAAAGAAATGAACAAGATGGACAGTTGTAGTCATTACCTTTATCTCTCTAGGCACAACAGATTACCCTCAACAGTCTGTGGGAACGAGAAGACAAATCTCACTTGCTACAACGGAGGCAACTGCACCAAGTTCCAAGCTGACTGGAAATGTATGTGCCGGCCAGGTTTTGCTGGAGAGAGGTGAGTCACATTAGAACTTTATGGACTGAAGATCAGGGCTAAAGAACAGAGGGATTGCTCAGAGTTCATTTTCTCCTCTAATTTTTCATTGCAGTTCCCACAGGAAAAAAATCTATATGGAAATAAAGGTCCAGACAGAATCAAGCAATAAAAAGCAGAAAAATTAGAGTCTAGGTCAAAGTATAGAATATTTTACCAGCCAAGACTTCAAATGGGAAAATATTCTTTTAAACTTATAATGCTTTTCTTTTTCTATAAGTATTTCTACATTCATGGATTCTCCCTCACTAACTCTAATACATGATATAAACATGGTTGCTATTGAAGTGAAATAAAACATACTTAAAACATGCCTTATAGAGTTAGCTACAACCCAAAATGTATGTACACCTTACTCAGAGGAATCTGCCTTTCCCAGAGAAACGTTTCAACTTTTTACCTAGTCAGGGATGGTCACTGGCTTCACATAACTTGTGGCCTGCTATACATGCAAGCAAACGTGTATATGTATTTGACTGGGTGGAGGTGTGGTCAAAGGGAAGAGAGAACATCCTCCCTAACTTTGATCAGATTCCAAAAGAGATCTATGTCCTCCAAACAGATGCATACTAGGGTTCTTTAAGATACAGACATTATGTAGACAGCTCAAGGCTAGCCATTTGTTTAGCACTGTTCCTTGACCTTACAGTATCATCTCCACTTCTTAGAGCTTGGCAAGGAAAGTCTTATTGTTTTTATTTCGTGTATGTGCAAGTGAAGAGGGTAAGTGACAGATTGATGCTAAAATAAATGTACTCCACAATGAAGTTGAGCTGCCATCAAAGCCTGTGCCTTGGGTACACTGACACAGTTTCATGGATAAATATCTGCTCACCACAATCAAAATAAAATCCAAAATATGTTCCTCCATCTCATACACCATCTAGGCACAGACAGTCGAGGTATCTATGTATAAGGATGGAAATGGAAAAGTCATGTTTCACTTTCCAGTCCACCGAGCTATGTCATGAAGTTATTAACTCAGCATTCAGTTGACCTCCAACTCCATGTCTTCAAAATATTATATCATCATCCTAAAAAAGATAATTCCTTACTATCTTTAAATGCTGGTTGCTTTCTAGTTCTAAAACAATGAATACAGCTCACCTGAAACTTTACATTATTTTTCTCTGATACAAATATTTTCCTTTCTTCTGATATATTTATTCATTCTAAAATTCATACTTGTCACATTTAAATTATTAGTGGAAACATGAGGAAAAATGAAGTTAATAATTTTCCTTTCTTTCCGAGGAGACCATTTATCTGAATAAACTTCTCTGGTGCAAAATGATTCCTTAATGACATCTGTGTTCAATATGTTCTGTTTTTTCAGACACATTAACCATCATTAGTAATACAGTAGAGCCTAAAGGATTTGCTTTGACTTACTATTTATGTTTATTGTCTTTTGTTTATATTGTCTTTTTTTTACTTTTGAGACAGGATCTAATTTGTAGCCCTAGTTGGTCTAGAACTCACTATGCAGGCCAGGCAGGCTTGCAGGATTTGCCCTACCTCTTACCTCATTGCTGGAAATTCAGGAATGCGACACATATCCAGCCTTTTGATTATCTTTTAGTAAAAGCTCTGCCAAATGATGCTTATCATACATATGGATGTGTTCACTATTTTGTTCAAAATAGAAATGGGTAAGAATATGAGAAAGAGCAGCTAAAGGGAGGCAGTCTGCCAAGACCTAGGGAAATGGGACTTCCACACATCCAAGGACATGGAAAAGCTGCCCTGCCTGGCTAAACCTCCAGCTTCATAGTGTAATTGCAGCATATTGTGAATGATGGATGGGGTGAACATACTGGCCACCCAGGACACAGGGTGCTTGGCAAGCTCCTGAGAGTTGTCAAGTTTTTCTAGGATCTAATCAGAGACGTTTCCTTCCAGCCCAGAAGCGCCAGAACCATAAAAGGAAAAACAGAATACCTCAGCTATGCTTGGTATCCAACTGGATAAGGCGCTGTTTTCCTTGGAATAAATCTTCATCTCAATCACACCCACACCAGGGATTGTACAGGCCCAGGATCCCATGGCCTTACGTTCCTAGCCTAGGGATCAGTCTCTGACACACTTGAGAAGTTCTACCGTTCGGGAGGTGGAAGAGATTAAAAACTGTCTACATCAAACTTAAACACTGTAAGCTGCTTTGCAGAGATTCTTGAGGCTAACCTTGTATCAGAGCTTCCTAAAGCAAGGCAGAAGCCTATCCTCACTGCTCTGCCCTAAGGCCTCAGCAGAGTGCTTGGCACATGATAAATAAAACTACTGAATTAATCAATGAAAATCCAGAAAAAAACAAGTTGCTGACTATAGATAACAAAATTTCAAAAAGCTAAAGGAATGTAGTTTGAAACTTCCACCAGAAGGGAATGATAAATGTTTGACTTATTTAACCTGATTTAAACATTTAGAACAAAGATTTATTAGCGAGTTTTTAAATTTTTGCTTATGTTAAAAATAAATTTTCAGCCCGGCGGGGTGGCACACACCTTTAGTCCCAGAGGCAGAGGCAAGCGGATCTCTATGAGTTCCAGGCCAGACTGGTCTACAAAGCAAGTTCCAGGCCAGCTGGGCCTACAGGGAGACCCTGTCTCAAAAATACCAAAAATAAATACATAAATACATAAATACATAAATAAATAAATAAATAAATACATAAATACATAAATACATAAATAAATACATAAAATAAGTAAATAATAAAATTTCAAGGGAAAATAATTCAGGATTTCCTACAATTAACCAATTTTTTTTTTGTTTGTTTCTGTTTCTCATGGATAGCCTGAGGCGCAGGAGCTCTAGAATCTTGGTACTCCTAGCTGCCATCTGAACTGTGGACTCCCAGCTGGCAAAACCCAGTGTGGTTTTCACACTGCCTGTGTTCACCTAATAAACATGCATTTATAAGGTGGCAAACCCACCAGCACTTTTAAGGGAGAAACTGGGTTTCTAAATATTTGCACCTGTTTTCTTATTCTTATTAATTCAATGTGTGCACCCACATCTGTACATTTATGCAAATTATTTCTATGAAGCCCAAAATTTGTTAAAGGATTCTTGAGGAATCTCTGAAATTAGGCAGTGTGCATAACTTGGGTAAATTGGTGAATCAGACTGTGCTTCTCTAGAAAACAGGTAAACCATCACCCATTTCACTTATTCATCTGGGCCCTGGGTTTCTGCTGTCTCTTTCATTTTCAAGGTGTGAAGAGGACATCAACGAGTGTGCCTCTGACCCATGCATCATTGGAGGCCTGTGCCAGGACCTGCTCAATAGATTCCAGTGCATCTGTGATGTGGCCTTCACAGGACAACGCTGTGAGCTGGACGTAAGCAGCCTGTCATTTTACATGTCCATGTTACAGTGGCAGAACCTCTTTCAGTTCCTTTCCTACCTTGTTCTGCATATGAACGATGAACCAGTTGTTGAGTGGGGTGAGCAGGAAGATTAACGGGCATGTGAGCATTCCCAAGTGTAAAAATCACTTCAAGAAATGCCTTGACTCATTTTAGGTTTCGAAAAAAGTGAAAAAAGGAGGGGGACATATTGAGAATGAAAATATATTCAAGTATATGAACACATCACAAGTACTTTGGGTTTATGTATTTTCCTATTTTAAAAAATTAAAAAAATTAACATTTTTAATAAAGCAAGAAACATGCCATTACTTAGCATACTTAGTACACTGTCATTCCAACACCTCCATGTTTGAATGGTTTCTCTTGCAATTAAGAAACCATTCCCCCACTCTAGCTTTGTATATTCATACTTTCCAGTTGTAAGCTTCCCTCGTTCACTCTGAGTCTGTTTTCACATGTATTCTTTCTTCACTGTCATAGGTTAAATGTGACACAGAAATTTGAAAATTACTATGAACTATTTGTACAGTCAATGCACCTTTTTGCAAAACTATTGAAATGAATTGTTGACAATTCTGTGATGTATGAAGTGGGGGATTTATCTTAATAATGTGAAAAAGGATGACCCAAGATCACATGATACTTCACTAGTATGATTCCTGGTTTTATAGGACATGCCTGTCACCAGGAATTAACAGCCAACCTTTTCTCAATTTCTTTTTTTAAGTTTATTAGTACAAACATTAAAACACTTTCCCGTTTCCACACCAATATTCTTTGTTCTTTGTTCATTGCTGATTAATCTGTTTTTTTTTAATTTTCCTATCAAGTTTTCACTGTTCATTATTTGTACTAAATATCATTGTATGGAGTACATTCCAAAGGGGGTGTCATTTGTGTTTATCGAAAGGATAATACTTGGATTCTCTGAATGAATTCATGGCACTGCTGAAACTCCCTTGGCCTGCTAGATGTCATCTTGTGAACTGTCTTTGTCTTCAGGAGCTGCTCTGGTTGAAAAATATGGGTATAATTTGCCCTTTGGATGATATCCAGTACTCAATGAGTTCTGACTGTTTTAAGAAAGTTTTTCTGTGGAATCTGAATCTGTGACTCTGAAGTCACCATTCAGATAGGCAGAAGGACAAAGCAGCATACTATGAATGCAAAGGAGGCAAAGGAGTGGACTCTGTTTCATGTTACCATAGCTATAGATTACCAGTCCTTGCCTTGTGGGGTCCTAGCAGTCATTTCAAACTGGGAGTGATCAATTTTGAACCCTTTGCTTTATCCTCATCATTTCCTCCCATCTAAGCCTATATGCCCCTATCTCTGCTTCAGATGGCTTCTTGCAAACTGATATTTTCTGACCAGAAAGTTAGGGAAAACTTTTCTACAAATATTTTCATTCTTAAGTTTCTACAACAAGCATTAAGTAGCATTATCACCAAAGACCATATGTATAGTTTTACATTCACTCCCTTCTGGACCTATCTTCAAGTGTGAACTTTTAGTCTGTTGTAATCTATTCCCTATCAAATATATTTAAGAAATATTTGTGCACGGTGGCATTTAAAAGCCACATTATGATAATAGTTAAAAAAAGAAACCACCTGTTACGTTCATGAGGCCAAGAGCAGACTGGAACTGCTGAGTTCCTCTTCCTTCAGATGTCTCAGAGCTGGGCTCTCCAGCAAGGGCTTTGGACATTTTGAAAAAGTGTCTCCAGTACGAAATGGGGAACTAGAAGTTAGTACTTACCCTTATCTTATCAAAAATACTTGATATTGCCTTTTGATTCCTAGAATATCACAAATACAACTGCAAACTGACTTCTCGATTTTTTTCATTGCTTTCAATGAAATAAGCATGCTGTTATCAGCACTTTGCTATGTAAAGCATTCATACATACATTCATTCATTTTTCCTGGATGGAAGGCAAGAAGGGGTTCTGAGGGACTAAGGTCAGGTGCCCAGGTCACAAGAGGAGTAGGTGGCTCAGTAAGCTTGTTTACACTATGAATAGTAATTTTTTGGTTGCAAGGTTCAGTGAAAGTCTGTAGTCCACATTATGTCCATATTGTAAAATTCATTCCTATAATACACAGTCTCTTTCTCTGTATAATTCTAATGCTTCTGTTGTCACTCTGATTGTCAACTGCTTTTCTATTTTCCAAACGTCTTGTTGTCATGTAATAATTTAAAAAAATACTTTCCCTATTCTTTATATTCCTCTGTACTTCAAGTATGTTGTATGTGACCAAGGCTTTTACACATTTTCACAGAAAAATAAAGTCTTTTCTCCTGCGTGTTCTATTTGTCATTCTCTGGTGGTACATGTCTTTGTTTGCTATGACAGTAAAATACCTGTAAACAAACTCTCTCTCTCTCTCTCTCTCTCTCTCTCTCTCTCTCTCTCACACACACACACACACACACACACACACACACACACACACACACACACACATACACACACCAGGAAATCTTAAGCATTAATACTGACCTCTTGATTGATCGAATTTCCCCACATGTGTCATTGTTAACCAATACCATGACCCCTAGGGCTGAATTTCATGTGCTTTCCCTTTCCAGCAAATGATCCTACAGTTGGTCTTCTAGAAATTATTACCTCCCCATTTCTTCTTAGTGTTGGTGACTTACATTGTCCCTAACAAAGCTGGTCTCAGTTCAACTTGGTTCTAAGGAGGGATCATCTCACCTATATGACAGACATTCACATGCTCAATCACACACACACACACACACACACACACTCCTCCTGTGGATCAAACTTCCAAAACATCCTGCAAACCCCCATCTTCTTCCTCCTTTGTGAGTATATACATGGGGAGTGGTTTTGAATTACCCTCTCCCTTTTGAAGAAAAGCAGAGTAGAGAAAATAGGCAAATTTGGAGAGCTATCACATTTTGGTATTAAGAAGAAACAAATAAGTTCAATTACTGCTGTTTCAGAAGGAATTCTCTACCCAGACTGTGACTTCTTTTAATGATAAATCATTTTTAAGTACATAATTTTTTCCAACTACACTTTCTCAATACTAGAGCACTAGACCAATAAATATGTCTCCCATTCCAAACTTTTCACTAAATATTGTTGGAAGATTATTTTACCATTCTTAGTTTTTAAAATAGATGCTATTCATCTTAATACTTCAGAATTAAAATAAAACTTTTTCTGGAAACGGTATATCATAAAATTTGAGTTTAGTAACTTAGATAAGAAATCAATGAAGAAATCTGCTTCAACAACCAATGCCATCTCAACACAGATTGTTTAACTGCTTTGCATGGCATTTTTTATTTATTCAACAAATGGTTGAATGAATACCTACTGTGTGTCATGCCCTGGTAGGTCCTGGGAAAATACCCATGAATTAGACGTGATGCTGGCCCACACACACACAAAAAAAAGCTGTAAAGAAAAGTAGGTAGGAAAGGAGGAAAGGTAAGTACACCAAGAAGAGGAGTTCCTCAGTCAGTGTTGGGATGGAGCTAGTACCAGCTATACAGCAGGGGCTGTTTGCCCAGTCTTAGAGGTAGATGTGGAAAGTCAGGGAAAGTGTGCAAAAGGCAATGCTAAGATCTGAAGATAAAGAGGGGCTAGGCTGGAGAGGAATGATGGAACAGCCAAGAATGTTCCAGGCAGAAAGGTCTATGAAGGTTAGGCACAGTGGCTGGAGAAGCGGGGGAGGGAGAACGTGGCGAGACTGACACTGCAGAGGCAGGAGAGTCCTTGGAAGCCACAGCCAAGACCCTGGCTTTTCATCCTAAGAGCACTAGAGAGTCTTTGAAATGTTTCAGACATAGAAGTGGCATAAACAGACTTATACTCTCAAATATCAGTCGAACTTTTACATAGAAATGAATGAAAGGACAGGTAAGACTAGACTCAGAAAAATATAGTCAAGAGGCTATTGTAGTAAGAGGCAAAATGATAGGAGATTTTGACCTAGCTAATGTAGCTGTCAGTGAAGGAGAGAAGGGTCTCCATAAACAGTATCAAAAGCAATAAAGACCTAATGATTATTGAGAAAAAGTGTAGTTCTATGGGAATGATTGGTTCAAAACGCTGAACATTATTTTGAAATATTCAGCCATAATAAATGAATTAATACAAAAATTTGACAAATATCTACATTATTAATTTATTAGTGTGTCGATTCCAGATTGGATGTCAAGAAATGAACCTAAGCTTAGTGTACAAATTGAGATTTGTATTAAAGGTACATTGAATCACATAACTCCGTGAATCCATATATGTCAGCCATTTGTGATCTTTGTCTATTGCTCTGCAGTAGCATAACTTCAAACTCTAAACAGCACACGCTGTTACATGGGTTCTCTGCTAGGGTCTCATAAGGCAGCAAAGTATCAACAAGGGATACAGTCTCATCTGAGCTTCCACTTCCAAGTTCAGTGTTTTCTGGTAAAGTTCCTTTCCTTGATGTCACTGGACTGAAGGCTTCATTTCTTTTGTGAGTATCAACCCTGGGCGGCTCACAGGTCCTAGCTAGGAGGGGCTCTGCAATATCACGCCTACTTCCTTGGGCCATGAAAGAAGATTCCAGCCAGGTGGATACTGCATGCTTATATAACATAATCATGCAGTCACACTCATGTAATCAGATACATCCTGACCTTTATCATAGCCTATGGGTTAGAGGTCTTAGCGTTCCCATCCACACATACAGGGAAAGGATCAGACAAGGGACAAACACCAGGAGGTGGGCATTCCCCTTTCGAATCTGTCTATCATGCCCTGGCTATTCTCTTCAGGCTGAGCTACAGTTGACATATTTCTCCCAGATCTACCCTCTGAGCACTGATAACACATATGCATAGCATTCACTGGTGAGTTTCTAAAGTTCAGTTGCCTTTGAAATTTATACATATTTTGTTTTCAACTGTATTACTACTTTTTATTTTATTTTATTATTTTTTGTTT